GAATTAAGTATCCAAAAATCAAAAATTGGGTTATGACTTCATCATGATGTCATCAATTAAGCAAAATTCTTTTATCAGGATTTTTGTTGGCTGTTAATTTGACAATGATCAAAGATTTCAAAGTTACCAGAACGGTGGCTTGAAAACGTTTACAAAGTCAATGGGCAGAAATAAACATTGAAAAATTAATAATCAATCGGATGCAGAAAAAACTGCTCCTTTAAGTTCATATCGTGTGATTTGGACTTAAACTGAACACTTTTCATGAAATATTACTTAATATTCTGACTCTTGGGTATATTTGTAATCGAACGAAAAAGGAAAATGTCTGGTTTCCCTTCGTTCTGGTAGTAATTCTCGGTCGAAGTTGAGGAGTACTCGCCCATTGAGCTCGATAATAGTGTACAGTACAAAAATGTGTACAAACCCTATGGCCAAATATTCAAAATTCAAAAATAAACCACGTGATGATTTCATCATTACAAATTTGTTATACCATCCTTGGATGATTGTCTTAAGGTCTGTCAAGTTTGGAATCGATCAGATGTATGAAACTATCGAAGGCCTATGGGACAACAAAGCGTGTCTGAAAAAGGAGGGGGGGGGAACCAGAGGTCATCTGTCTGTTTGCCAACAGAAAAGGGGGCTTTTTCGCATCCCTTTCTTAAGTCGAACAACCAATCTACTGCACAACCTGATGGCATAAATCTTCATCAGGACCATTTTGGTGCAAGCTTTCAACCCAATCAGGAATGCTCTTTTGACTTAAGTTTGATGTAGAATTTGACTCATCTGATGATGTCATCATCACATCTGGTAAATTTTCATCTAGAACACTTCCTTTCCTTGTATTATGCAAAGTTTCAATCCAATCAGACATGCTTTTCGGGAGATATAGTACTTTAAAGCATGCACCTTTAATGTCGCATGACTAGTCACTTGAGGACGTCATCATCACATTAGGTTAATATCCATCTAAATCACTCACTTTTTAAGATATCCGCAAGGTTTGAACCCAAATGGATGTATACTACAGGAGATAAACAGTTTTAAATAGTGCAATAGGTCAATATTTGCCGAAAGCACTTCATATCCAAGGTATCAGCAAGGTTTCAACCCGATCAGACATGCACACAGTTTCAAGATATATAGCGCTTGGAAGAATGCACTTTGAATGGTCATCTGATGACATCATCACATGAGGCCAATTTCGTCTATAACACTTCCAAATTTCTAAATACCTGCCCGACATGCACTTCAGGAGATATAGTACTTTAACGTCTTATAAAGTACTTTATGTCCCCTGATGACATCATCACATCAGGTCAATATGCATCTTAATCACTTCCTTTTTACGATATCTGCAAGGTTGGAACCCAATTGGACATACACTTTTGGAGATAGAGAGTTTTAAACAGTGCACATTTAATATCACGTGACATCATCATCTGATGACGTCTTCTTCACACAATGTTACATTTGATCTGTAACACTTCCCTTCCTAAATACCTACCAAGTTTCAACCCAATCGAACCTGCACTTCAGGATGCTTATTTAATATCATGTGACTCATCAGCTGATGACATAGTCATCACATGAGGTCAATCTCCGTTTATAAACCTTCCTAACCCAACTATCTGCAAGTATTCAACCCAATCAAATATGTACAAAACAAAACATTTTATCTCGGACAGAGCGCAGATTAGAGATTTTCAGCATTTGTCTCTTCTGGTGTCCCATACAGTACGATCAGCTCTCAGCACCATGTGCTTGGAAATTTGCCATTAGACCATTTGGGTCCAATGCTTCAACCATTAAGGTATGCGCTTCTGGAAATAATATACAATAATGAATATTTATGAGTGCAGCCCGTTGATTGGAACAGTTCATCTTTCAACTCATGACAATATTCTTTCCATTGCACGAATGAAAAACATTATTTGTTTTACATGTATGTAACATCTAAGTAGATTTTTGTCACTTGATTGGAGGATAACATTTATAAAATATATGAATATAAATATGGTACTTATCTTCTGTCATCGGCTTTTTTCAGCTTACTCATCATGGCTTTGTAGACCTTGTTCTGCTTCAAGTTACCACTGTTGGTTACATCTATATCCCTGGATGTTAGAAAGTGATGATGCAGCCCATACCGAATTGCATGCGGTGACTTTTTAGTGTACAATTTTTTTTTAGAAATGCAGCATTTTTAGCTTTTGGATTTAGTGACAGAATTTGAAATAAAATTTGCTTTCAAAATTGATCTGTGTGACTGCGGAGAATCTGTTTTCT